TGCTGACCATCTCTGCGCGTGCAACGCGTCACTGCCCGCAGACAGATTTGGGCTTGCTTTTTGTTTCAAGCCATTGGTTCTGGCTGATTCCACAACAGGCAGACGAGAAGCATCTGGAAAATCTATAACCAATTTCTAAACCTGCAATTTGCCAAGCTAATCAATACTAATTATTACTGGCCAGTAATTGTGAATTAAAACACCCAGCAATGTTACAGAAACCTCCACACAACTCTTTCACCCTCACACAGCGCCGTGCTACTAAAGTCAGCTTGCTCTTCAGCTACAAAAAAAGGCTACCCTTATTTTTCATTAGAAGTGGTATCCGTGGTCTTTCGTTACGCTGGCTGGAAATCCCCAAGACTTCCTATGAAGAAACAGCACTATGTTTTCCCTGAAAGTTAAACAACGCAAACAGAACGGAAACACTTGTGCTATAATGGGGCAGGACAGAAAAATCGCAATGGGAGTACCAAAATTTCTTCCCCTAAGATCCATCATATCAGGGCTGAAAGGCAGAGTAAAATCCCAGCTATGTAGTTTGCACCGGCAAACTCAGACCATGTAATCGGTAATGGGGCAGCCTCTTTCTCCCTGCAAGCTGACTCTGGCTTGCTCCTGCTCCCGCAGGCAGGCAGGCAGGCAGGGGAGCAGCTGAGTGCGGTGCTTGGCTGCCTAACGCCAGCAGACAGGACTGAAAAAATGTGGCACTGAAAAGCGTACAGGTCTCCACCCTGAAACGCCCTGGCTCTCATTCAGCACCCGCTCGCAAATCAAGCCATTAATACAGACATCCCTCCCACCCCCAGTGTAGCTGCTCCCTTCTACGGTACCTCACTTGGGCATAGCAAAACCTGACAGCTTTTGCTGGGGTTTTGCCATTTTTCGTAAAACCAGGCATCTGTTTTTAGAGTACCCAGGTCACAGCGAACTCAAAAAATGAGTCCAATATGTGTCAGGCAGGAAAAGTGGGAGGTTAATCCTAGATTTGCTCTGTGCCCAGCACTGCTACATGCACAAGTATAAAATATCCATTATTCATTAGCATCACAGTTGTGTGGAGCTCAATCTAGATTAAACAAAATAAAGGGGCCCCAGACAGCACCATTTGCATTGTTAAGCAGGCGCTTTTCTTCAGCCTTCAAATAGGAGACTTTTCTAAATGGAAATGATGGGGAAATTTGGACAGATGTTCACTTAACTATTTAAACAGTTAGCTTAAGAAACATGAAAAATGTATTTGGCATCGTATTCACCTGTCTCCTTTCAGGGGTTTTGGGGGTAAACCAATTGTTAAACAGCTTTGACTGTTTGCATAAGATCTGAAGCTTATGTTCTGTCCAGCTGAAATCGTGTTGCCTTCTAATGTTTACATAAACGTAGCTTCCAGCTAGTCGGTGTGCTAATCTTTTTCTCTTCTATCAAGTTTCACAGTCCTTCATACCCGCCCTTTCCCAACAGATGAACATTTCACACTTATTCTAGCACTTCCTAATTTTAATCTGCTTTTCAGGGAGTGATTTAGAGCCCTGTATATTCACCATGCTTCTAAAAATACGCTGGAACTTGTAGCTCAGTGAACATGATTTTTTTTTTTTTTTTTAATCTGCTGGAAGAAAAAGCAAAATGAACACAGACTTTTGCCTTTTTTGTTTGTTTGTAAAAAAACCTGCCACCTCTGATACCTACTTACCCAGAAGCTACTTGAGCTGAAACTTTCTGAGGTGGGGAGCTTAACATTATTGGAGGAGGGAGAGAAGACAAGAAGCAGGAGGAAAATCTTCCACCCCAAGCCCCATCTGTGGTTAAACTTAAAATAACCCCACATGAACAAACTGATCTGCATTCTGTCCCCTAGACACCTTCATAACAGATGCAATACTCTCTCGCACACTCATGCACACGAAGTTGAAATGCATTAGAAAAGTCTGTCAGAAGATGCTCAGCGTCTACTTACCAGCTTGGAGCTATTGGCATAAAAGAAGCTGGAAATACAGAAAGGTTTCAGTTTGGAGTTGTTTTGCTTCTTCTAAGAAAAACATTTTTTTTCATCTCGCTTTGAAGTTAAAAGGCAACAACTTTTAAGTACAGATTTATTCTCCCTTATGTAATAGGAAGACCTAGCCAGCTTGTAAATAAGCATAGACTATGCAGATTTAAAATTTAGCACAATTAAACTTTTACCCTGTGGTAGTAATTATGTTTAATGGCTCTTAGCCTGAACTTAACCATGCCTATTGTTGTCAGCCAGTCTAAAAGCAGGAGTTTGTCCAAGGACAATTTTCTGTAGTTTATAGGCACACTAAAAACTCTGCTACACGCTGTTCTCATTGGCCATTGATGTCAGTGTGTATAGTAAAAATTAAAGCTAATTGGCATAGAGGAGCAGCGGTGAATGCAAATGAATTAATGGGAAAAGAAGGGAGCACTCCTGGAAGCAGTAGGCAACTGTCGAAGGATGCTTTTTACATAGTCTTGTCTGGGCCAAAGAGTAGTCTTCTGCACAATGATCCAGACCTCACCAGCTCCATGAATACACCTGAAGTTAATTCGAACTATAGTAAAGTCAACAGCATCCTGCAGGTCTTGGGGGAAAAAAGAATGGTAAAGGGTCCTTACTGTAG